ACTTAGGTGGCACTACCGGAGGGAAGAGCGGCTGCCAGCCGCTGAGCCGGGAGCCAAGTGCAGTAGGAATGGCGTGGGACCGGGGCACAGGTGAAGGGGAGAGAGATGCAGTAAGCGCACAAAGGGATGCGGTAAGCGCACGCAGGTGTGCGGTAAGCGCACGCAGGTGTGCGGTAAGTGCACGCAGGTGTGCGGGAAGCGCACGCATGTGTGCGGGAAGCGCACGCAGGTGTGCGGGAAGCGCACGCAGGTGTGCGGGAAGCGCACGCAGGTGTGCGGGAAGGTTGACGGAGGAGGGCGCGCGACAGGCGGAGGGGAGGGCACGCGACGGTCTAAGGAGGGCGCGCGACGGTTGAGGAGGGCGCGCGATGGTGGGGGAGGGCGCGCGGCGGTCTAAGGAGGGCGCGCGACGGTTTAGGAGGGCGCGCAACGGTGGGGGAGGGCGCGCGGTGGTCTAAGGAGGGCGCGCGACGGGCTGGACAGCGCGGGAGGGCGCGGGCTAGGCGCGAGGAGGGCGCGGAGGGCGCGGAGGGCGCGGAGGGCGCGGAGGGCGCGGAGGGCGCGAGAGCACGGAGGGCGCGTAGGGCGCGGAGGCTAGCTAAGAACGAACAAGGATCTAACCTACTCGTGATACCATCTCATAATAGGAATGCAACGGAATGATGAAACTAGGAAGTGTGGAAGTACAAATATGCAACCCTAACAACTGTGCTCCCTATTGTGCTACTCACTGTAGCCTACAAGCATAGAATTACATTTGACAAGTAGTGCAAAATGTTGGCTTTGATCAGTTACTCAATTGGCCTTGTTCTGGTCCAAAAACCAAAATTCAGACTACAGTATGGTGGAGCGTTGAGATTTGCAATCCTGGTTGCTTCCTTGGCATCAGACCAGGGCCTCAGATTCGTTTGGGGGTACACTGAGGCCTCAGGGCAATTTTTAGGAAATTAGAATTTGCCCTGAATTGTCAGGGCTGCACAAGGTGAGGTATCCTGAAATGCCAGTGCTACATTTAATCGTATCCCGTAATCTCAATGCTACATTTCGTGGCAGGTGAAGTGTGGTAGCGGGTAAAGCGACGATGCTTTACGTAAAAGGTCTCCCGTTCGATCCCCACTAGCTCCCACAGCCTTATCCTGAGTTTTCAGTACGCAAAATTACCGTTATACTGAAATTACAGGACAATTATTCATGTTATGCTGTTTTTCCAGGACTAGCACACGACACCTATCCTGAATTCAGGAGAATCAGGATAAATTATCCTGATAACTGAGGCCCTGCAGACTCTTCCTCCAGAATTGTTCTTTCATTTCTTTGCTGTCTTTTAGGGCTTGGAAGCGGTTGAATATGTTACAGTGTGGTGTCATTTGAACCTCACCTCTCCTTTTCCTCATGTCATTTGAGCACTGAGCATCAAAAAGAGGGGGGGAGGAGCGAAGGGGGAAGAGGGGGAGAGGAGCAGACATGAGAAGGTGTATCCATACATGCACCCACTGGCCTTGTTCTGTAGGCGGACTTCGGCTCCCATAAGAGCTATCGATATTGTCGACTGCTTCTTCTCCGCATTTCCTAGATTTCTTCGTGTCGTTCCCAGGCGAAGTCTCGTTCATGCCACAATGGCTCCTCGGTTCAATGAAGAGCTGATTGACACGAGTTCGCGTGAGGCGTCTTCTCGTGATGGCCTGGGCAATGTTAGCGATCCTTCTCGATCTTTCGTCAATAGGGGCCGCGACGATCGACATGCAGACAGGCACATGAGGCTGGGACTTGCCCAAGTCCCGGTCCCACGTGCCTATTATGTCCCGGACCTTCAGTTTGAATGGCAGGCACTGCTTTACAGTTGGGTGGGAACTCGTGCATGTCAGTGTACCGACTCCCGCCGACCAAGAATGCGATGAGTTTCCCTTCTTTTCTTGTCAGGGGTTGTCAAGGATGCATGTCATTCCGAATTCGTTGTCGTTATAGGTCCTAGCGAAATCACCAGCCTTCTGCAATTGCAGGAGAATCTAAGTTCCTTCTACCCGAGGCCCACGCAAAGAAGTGGTTATGCTGTCCGAAATCTTCCCGGTCAGGCTTGTGCCTCCACCGGTCACCGCCTGAAGACCCCATGCATGCACCCCCACGTGATGAAGTTCCCTGAAACGTTTCTGCGCGGTGCGGACCATTGTGAAGCCATCCATCAGCCGCCGACCCAATATCGCGAGTCGCCATTCCTGCCTGCTTGCGACTCCTGCAATATTCCAACTCTACAAGATTGAAGCTGAAGATATGATTCTCGCCACTCCCATTGTTGGGTTTCAACATCAGGCATTACTTGGTGCTGCTTGCTCATACACGTACCAGCAGGAAAACCGCTCGAAGACGCAAGCGACCGAACAAGCAACCTCCCTTCTTCAGTGAACGGCTTAAAGCTGCAGTATACATTTGTCAGCTGGGTTTATGGTTTTTATTGTGTGCCTCACAGCTTTGGGGCAACTTTTCAAATTTCAAAAGTTTTTGAACCCAACCTTTCAAATGTATACTGCAGTTTCGTCGATCAGACGACGAAACTCCAGAACCGAGATTCGTGTTCTCGTTCCTAAGCTTGTGGAAGCCTACGATTGTGTCTTGGATTTCCTCGTCGCCGCAACTTGGCTATCTCAACTGGACGCTTTTGTTTGCTTTCCAGCTTGCACGCTGACATCCCGACACTACGTGGCTTCTTGTTGCAGTTCAAGAGGACGTAGCAAGGCCGTAACAGTCAGAAATGAAGCCGGATCTCATTCGTTTCCGAGAAGGTTGCGACTGACTCAGTTCGGAACTGAAGTTGGTGTCTGGCGAGGCGAAGAATTTTGGCACTGTAAAAAGTTGAAGAAACACCTGACTGACACGAACTTTGTAGTAAAGGAAGGCGAATTTGAGGCGCCTCGCGAGTATCCACTCCTGTACAAGTCCGCAGCCACACGTCTCGCTACTGGTGAGGAGTTTTGCAGCATGGATCCCACACGTGAGCACGCGAATTCTGCAGCGTATTCTGCACCCCCTGCTCTCCCTCCTGCCTTTGCCGCTGCCGTTCAAATGACCGAACCCCCCCTTGTTGCTGGTCTTGCTGCTGCTACGACAGGGCCTTCCCTCTCAGAAGCACATTTGAATCTGTCATCCGAGCTGTTTTCCCTCCCCGGAGCCGTCCCTTTCACTGCTAAAGCTTTGTCATCGCCAGGGCTTCTGGCTGTACTTGAAGGGCCTATATCCCCGTTACAAGCACGCTGCCCTATGGCCGTAGCGCCCCATGCGTCCCTGGAGTGTACTGCGGAGAGTAACCTGGCTCGTAGCTTAACCAGCAGCCGTAGCAGGAGGGCGCGTGAGAACCCTCAGGTGCAACCGCATGAGGAGTTTGAGAAGCTTCCAGAAACGAGGGAGAGCGAGCTTCAGAGAGGAGGAGGAAATGGAGGAGGAAGAGGAGGAGGGCGAGGAGGAGGGAGAGGAGGAAACCGAGGAGGAAGAACAGTTGGAAGCAGGGAATCTGGAAATATGGAGAAGAGGGATGGTTTCTTGGCTGGAGAGGGAGGGAGAGCACGGGGTATGAGCATAGAGCAGCTTGAGACAGAGGCTGGGAGGACAGACGCTCAGCCTAATGGTTTTAAAAGAAGTTCTTGGCTAAGTGGCAGTAGACGCAAGAAAGGTGGAAATTCCAGGAAGCAGCAGCGGTTGCTTCCCAGCGAGGATGAGGTGAGGGAGGCTGCGACTGATTGGTCAACGCTTGGGGCGACTTTGAGACGAGCCCTTCGCGTGGGAGGGAGTGGCGGGGATGACAGAGGGGGGCCAGGAGCAGGGGTAGCGCAAAGTGGAGCAGCAGTTGCAGGAGACGCGCTGGCAGGAGCAGCGGCGGCAGGAGCAGCGCAGTCACATGGTTGGAGCTTCTGTGAAGGTCTGGGAGGAGCTGAAGGAGGAACAGGTTTGGCTGAGGATGAGGAACGGATGGTGCAGCGGGAGGAGCAACAGTCTGAAGTCCCAGAGGAGCAGGCGAAAGTGGTCATACACCTACCCACTCAGCAGCTGCGGGAGGAGGAGGAGCAACATCAGCAGCAGGAGCTGCAGCAGCATCAACAGCAGCAGCAACAGAAAAATCCTCTGCCACCTGCCAGCAGAATGCCAAGCATTGGAGGGCTGTGGAAGCGAGGGTGGCTTGGTGGCGGTGCCAAGGTGATGGACTATGAGTGCCGATTCTGCGGCAAGGGGTTTGATTTGCCTCGGGCGCTTGGAGGGCACATGAATCTCCACAGGAAGGGTGAGGCTGGCGCAGTGCATGTGCGTGTGTGGGTGTGGGTGCGCGGACGTGGCTGCATGTGTGTTTGTGTGTGTGTGTGTTGAGGGGGTGAAGTTGAGGAGCGAGGGGGGGTGCGTGCCTACCTGCATGTGTGCGTAATGCACACTTGTTGCACTTATTGCAATCATTGAGATTGTTGCTCTCCTTGCACTCATCTGACTCTTCTTGCTCTCGTGGCACTCCTTGTGCTTGTTCCTTTGTGCAATGGCCAGAGCGCAAGCTAGACGACGAGTTTTTGCAAGAGGCCGAGGCTCAAGCCAGGGTTGAGCTACAGCTGCGCCAACAGCAGCAGCTACAGCTGCTTCTGCAGCAGCAACAGCAGCGAGAGCAGCAGCAGGAGCAGCAGCAACAAGAGCAGCAACAAGGCGTGCAGTTACACGTTCAGGAGCAGCCGCTAGTGCTGCAGAACCTGCAGAGCCAGCAGCAGTGGCTGCTGCAGCAGGCAAAGCAGCCACGACTCCAACAGCAACAACTCGAGGAGCTGTTTCAGTAGCAGCAGCAGCAGCAGGGGCAGAGGCAGCGACAGCGACAGCGAACAGCAGCACAGGCACAACCGCTGCAATTGTCACTTGATTTCGCTCCACAGCAGCATCAGCAGCAGCTCATTCCTGACGCCAGCGGTTTTTCTCTTGGCGTATCCCACAGCACTGGTAGCAGAGCCTCGGCTGTGACTCCACACAGCCTTCCTGCTGCCATGGGGGCATCTGCTGCCATGGGGGCATCTGCTGCCATGGGGGCATCTGCTGCCATGGGGCCATCTGCTGCCATGGGGCCATCTGCTGCCATGGGGCCATCTGCTGCCATGGGGCCATCTGCTGCCATGGGGCCATCTGCTGCCATGGGTCAAGGAGTGTGGCCTGAGGAACAGATGCAGATAGATACGCCAATGCAGCAACGGCAGCAGCAGCAGGAGCAGCAGCAGCATCAGAGGCATGAGAGCCAGCGTCAAGAGCAGCTGCAGCTGCTGCAGCGTCACCTGCAGCAGCACCGGCAACTGCAGAGCCTGCAGAAGCAGGAGCAGCTGCAGCTGCGGTGGCAGCAGCATCAGCAAGAAGAGCAGCCGCAGCAGCAACAGCAGCAATATCATCAGCTGCAGCAGGGGTATAAGAAGTCAGGGTTTGCTCAGCCCAGGCCACCCAACGCTGTTGCCAGCAGGCCTTACAGAGACATGACTTCATCTCTTCCCAACACTCCCACCTCCCTGTCTCCTCACACTCCCTCATGGCCGCCCATCCAGCCTCCCATTGGACCCTCCACCCACTCCAACCGATCCCCACTCCACCATCCACTCCTCCCTCCACCCTCCCCAGACCTCTTTCTCTCCACCCTCTCCCCTGAGGTCCTCCAGTCTCTATTCCTCCACTCCTGTCCCCCTGAAGCATCCTCTGCTGGCCCTGTAACGCCTCGTGCAGTTACCACCGGATCCTCCTTCGCACTTCCCCATCCTGCTTCTGTTCCTCCCTCACTTCCACCCCTGCCACCTGCTGCGTTACCACTGGTTACCATGCCACTGGTGACCAAGCCACTGGTTACCATACCGCTAGTTACCACCTCCTCTCAGCATCAGTCCCCTCCTGCCCCACCTGTACATGCCAGTCAGCTGCGAGCTATGCCACCTGAGCTGTTGGCAGCATGGATTACATCTGCTGTACTCCCAGCTGGCGTTACATCTGGCGTTACATCTGGCGTCACACCTGGTGTTACATCTGGGCGGCCAGGGTCCGCCCCGCCTGTAGCAGCAGGAGAGCATGAGCAGCAGAGTGTCATGGGAAGGATGCAGCAGCAACAAAAGCAGCAGCATCAGCAGCTGCAACATCAGCAGCAGCAACATCAGCAGAAGGTGTTGAGTAAAGAACAGCAGCAGCAACAGTGCTGGCAGCAGCAGCAGCCAATGGAAATTTCAGGAGAAGTGACAGGGAAAGGAAATTATTTTCCAGTACAGTCAGGGGCAGGGGCAGGCCCATGTCCAGAGCCAATGGAGAGAACCGGTGGGGATGACGTCGCATGGCTGCGGCCACATAAGCAACAGTCTGACCTGCTGCTGCAGCAGCAGCATGATCAGCAGCAGCAGCAGGAGCAGGAGCTGTTGAGTCAGCTGCTGGCCTTGGCAGAGCAGCAAGCACAGCCGGGCGTGGGTGGGGTGTTGGAGCGATTGGGGAAGGGAGAGCAGCAGCAGGGGGAGAGCAGTAAAGAAGAAGCATGTGTGGTGCCACTGAATTTTGCCCGAGGAGCAGTGGGAGGAGGAGAGGGGACTGTGCAAGAGCTCGCAGCTTTGGATTGGCTGCCTGGCGGCTCGCACCTCCTTGGCTTATCTTTTCCTTCTTTGACCCTGCCTGCTGTTACGATTCCTGATGTGAATATGCGTGATGTGACTATTCCGGATGTGACTCTGCCGGATGTAACTGTGCCTGCTGCCACCCGGCCTGACTCTTCTCCTGTCATGCCGTACCTCCCTTCGGGACCTCTTGCTTCTGCTATTGCTTCTGCTCTTGCTGCGGTTACGCCTTCTGCATTTATGCCTTCCCTGGTTAAGCCTCCTCTGAATACGCCTTCACGGGTGAAGCCTCCAGTCATTGCTGGGCCTGCCATTTCAACTCCTGCAGCCACTGCTCCTTTGGTCACTCCGCAGTACGGCTTTTCAGCTGGTGATGGTGTTGCATCCCATGGTCGTTCAGGTGCTGCCATTCCACCTCCTGAAGTCCATGCCCGGTCGATTCCACCTGCCTCCATCCCACCATGCCAGCACTCCCTTCAACTGCCTTTCTTGTTCTCTGAGCCCAACTTGGCGCAGCAGCAGCAGGAGGCTGGTGCTCTGCAGCAGCTGAGTTCTCAATCTCGACGTGCCTTGAGCCAGCAGCAGGAGGCTGGTGCTCTGCAAGGGCAATCTTTGCAAGGGGAGGGTGCAGGAGGGAGTGAGGAGGACGAGCTGGCACAGCTGGAACAGCTCCGCCAGTTGCTGCTCTTACAGGAGCAGCTTATAAGGGAGAAACCAGGGGGAGAAGGGCTTCAGCTGAGGAGGCAGAGGTTGAAGGGGATGAAAGGTGCGGAGTGGTGTGGTGATTTGAGCCAGCAGGTGGAGAGAGAGGTGGGAGTAGTAGCAGAGAGTGAGAGGCAGTGCCGTTCAGAGGAATAGGAAGAACTGAAGGATTGTAGGGGGTAGTTGTCTTAACTTGAAATTGACATTCTGTGTACATGCTATGCTACGCCTGAGATTTGTTGGGAATTGTACCGTATATACCTACATGTGCGTGCTTTCCTTAGTAATGGTGGTTTTCTGCAGTTGAGTTGAGCAGCACTTTTATGGTGGTTTCCTGCAGTGAGACTTTTATGCATTCATCGAACACATGGGGTATTGAAAAGCATCTAGGCATTCGATTCATGTGAAACAATCTTCAGTCGTCTGGTTCAACATGTAAAATACTAGAACCATCTACTTCTGTAAAAATTGTATTCCACTAAAAAGCTGAAGGTACGGATTTCTCAAAACAAATAAGCCTATATACTCTAACGCGACCTTGTACAATGCGCTTATCTGCAAGCACATCACATGCATGTCATCAGCGCCCCACAGATCTCCGTGGAAGAGAAGCAAAGCAGTGGTATCGTTCTGTAGGCACCTGACGTTTGGGGGGGAAGGGAGGGAGAAGGGAAATGATGAGGGTTCCGAGGTGGGTTCCGATGTCGATTTCCCCCCCCTGGGCAAACATGCGAGATGGGAAATTTCACATTTTGGGGAGGTAGTTTCCGAGGGAAAATTACGAACTTCTCGCGGAATTTCTCGCGCCCATCAGAGAGATAATTCCTGACCACTGTTTAGTGCACCCAGTGTATTTTGGACTGCGAGGGTAATTTATACAGAAAATCGAGCCCCAAAATACATGCCAGCCCTTGGACCAACTTCGAAGGTGGGGCCTCAGGTGGTTGGGGTGTGGTGTGTTTATTTGTTTCGATTTGGGAGGTGCCACCCTGGTTGGGTTAGACCTTGTTGTCTATTGCGTTTTGTTTGGGTGGGAGGCTGGTGTTCCCACGCCCAGCTCCGCCCTCCCGTCAACATCGCACTTCCGCGTGAAGGGCGGTTGGCCGATGGCGGGGCGAAGGCAAACAAATTTGCCAGAGGAGGAAGGTGGTGAGGGGAAATAGGAACCTTCCTGGTGGGCCATTTCCATCGAGGGAAACGGCTGTTCTGCAGGCATTTCCCTTCGTTTAGGTTCGGAAGGGAAATGACTGCCACGTCGGCATTTTCCGGGCTGACCGCCATTTCGAGCCTAAAATTGCAGAGGCAGGCAGCTTCCTATTTTCCCTCCCCTTCCCTCCGTGATGCCTACAGAACGACGCCAGTGAGAAATACATACGCAGGGCGCACGGGAGCACTGCAGGATGAGTGCACGCAGAGCGCAAGAGATTACCGTAGCAGACAATGGCTTGCTCCTGCATGTCTGTGTTGTTGCTTCCCGAATCTTCCCTTGCGTGACACCATAATTACTTTATGCTCGATGTGCAATGAGGCGCCTTGGGTACCTTGTTTCTGCCTCGACCTCTCGCGTCCCCAGGCGGCGTTCCCGTTCCTGCTTAACCTTACGTCTCCGCGACGGTCCGCATGCTCAGTCCAAGCTCGTCAGTCAGGATCTATGCAACCCCACGTGATCGCCTCTTCAGCCAGGCTGGCGGCATCCTCGCGCTTGCTTCAGGAGCAGCATGCTGTCGTCAGATTGCGCATCTTCCGTGTTTCGATACGCTCGCAAACTCGCTGTGTCATGTGCCTTTTTTGTGTACATGATAAGCCGGAGAGATTGTAACAAAGTAGATCAGGAACCAGCATTTTTAACCAACACTATTTTCCGTGGTGTTTGCAGCCATAACGGAGCGTCCTCATCGGCGCGCTCTGTCGGCGCGCTTCAGCGGCTTTCTTCACGCAGGCTTTCCTGCTGCAATTCCGAGCAGCGTAGGCATTTGCTTGTTAAAAGTCCGTCGAGTGTAACGAATCATGCTGAGAGCACAAAATATTACACTGGCTGGACGAAGGTCTTGTGAGAAGACGTGGTATGGAAGGTAAAGCTCGGTCAAGTTATAGAGGAGTCGTACACCATTGATTTTCTGTGGTTTGCAACTGAAAGTGTGTTTTTCTCTCGTTTCACTCCTCGGAGGTGCATTAATTTTTAACTTTCCAGGCCTTTGTTGTGGTGGCAGAAAGCGGAATCTGAGCATCGTGTAGTGTCAGCGAGAAGAGCCCCAGCCGTGCCGTTGCGGCTAGCGAATTTGGAGTATGGATCCTTCACATCCTGAGCACGTGCGTTCTGTACAGGGTTCGACGACAGGCCCTGCACCTACTGTAAAAGTTGTTATGGCAGAACACACGCCTGATGCAGATTTTTTTACAACAGAACCGTCTTGCGGTTCGGGTGCTGCTACTTCAGCAGCGTATTCTACCTTCCCAGCTCTCTCCTCCGCGTCTCCTGCTGCTGATCCCTCCCAGCAGCCTTCGCATGCGTCTCCTGGATCTGCACCAAGTATCACGGGTCAAGTTGATTCGGCAAACATTGTGGATTTATGGAGGGGAGGGAGGCTTGGGACAGGCTCCGAGGCGGATATTCAAGGGAAATTCGGTGGCATGAGATTTAGTCTCTCTCCAGTGCATCGAGGCCACATGAATCTGGACAAGAGAGGTGAGGGAGGCTGCATGTGCTGAGTTTGGGAATTAGTCACACCTTTCTTTGTTCTTACCATTTTGTGCCACCTTGTGGTTCGCTGTGGCTGTATGTTGTGGGCAGTGAGGGAGGTGGAAGAGGTTTACCTTCAACAAGCTGAGGCACACGCCTGGAATCAAGTACAGTTGCGTCAGCCGCAGGAGGAGCAGATGCTGCAACAACAGCACGAGCGACCGCAGCAACAACAACAGCAGGACTTGTACCGATTCCAGCAGAAAGAGCTTCAACTGCAGCTGATGCAGCAGCAGCAACAAGAGCAGCAGCAAGCGCAGCATCACCAACAACATGAACAGCATCAGGAGCAGAAGCAACAACGCTTGCAGCTGCAGCAGCTGGCTCAACACCTATAGCAATTTATGCTGAAACAACAGCAGCAACGCTTGCAGCTGCACACCACCAATAGCAACAACATCTGATACGGCATCAGCAAGAGCAGCAGCAACAACGTCTGGTGCAGCATCAACAAGAACAGCAGCAACGACACTTACGGCAAGAGGAGGCGCAGCAACAAGATAAGCAGTGGCTTCTGCTGCTGCTGCAACAATAGGAACTAGAAGAGATGTAGCAAGAGCAACAAGGCAATGAGTGGGTGTTTTTGCAAATGCAACTGGAAGTGGGTCAATGACAGCAGCAGCAGAAGCAAGTCAGGCGCAACACAGAGACACCTTGAGAAAGCAGCCATCGCTCTTTTGGATTGCCACTTTAATAACCATAGCAGGTATTTCCTCCAGGCTCCCCGCAAGCACCGCAGCCTTTCTGCTGTCACGGTCATGACTCGCCCCAGCACACCTGCTGCCATGGGTGTGTGCGCTGCCGTGGGTGCATGCATATGCCTCCTTGCTGCGAGGAGTTTTGATGCTCGTCATTTCTTTGTCGTTTCATCATTTCTACTGCAACATCATGGGGAACTATTCCCTGGTGCATTGTTTCGTAGCTAAGCAGCAGAGAGGCAAGAAACTAGCAAATGGTGAGGTGGTTCAACAAGAATTTTGCAGCATCGGGGGGGGCAGTAAAACATGGGAAGTAGTTGGACATGTGGGGAAGGAAAGGTTATCGTTATTCATACAGGTAAAAAGGAAAATCAGCATGACATACTGCTATGTAGGCGCCCCGGTTGTGATGGATTGCAACCACTGGTCTGGACACATCTGCGTTGTGGAGTGTGCATTGTGTAGAACTCGCCTATATCTGCATTTAAGCACCAAGTGCCTTCTTAAGTTTGAGTGTTTTGCTTATGCAGATGAATATATTTTTGTTTAACAGCGAAGCACTCCTAGCGAAGATGCGGATTTTTGCAGAGACCTAGATAACGAGGGAGAAGCCGAGGCTTTCATTCATCCAGATGGCACAGGCCGCACAACACAAGGCATCCAGCCAAAACTGGGCTTTGCTTTTGCTTTACATGTGCTTCCTTTGCGATCGCTGCGGCTTTTTACCCCTAGCCGCCATGAACGCTAGCCGTCTCTTCTTGCCGGGATTACGCACATCGCATGCAGCCCCAGGACAGCGACAACACTTGCATCTTCCCGTTGGGATTTTTATGGAGTGGAGTGGACAGCATGCGCGAAGGGATGCTCTGAATTATACCTCTCATACCAGCTTGTCAGATGGCCACCCTAAATCTCCTAAGGCCGAGCGCCCATTCGGTGCGCTCGGCTACAGCGACAGTCTGATGAGACGGGTTTTAGAGGCTCCAGATTGCAAGGTCACGTGCCTATCACTCATTCCGAATCGCAACGTGTCACCGCGAATCTCTCCTTGACAGAGATCCTGAAATTCGCTACAAACTCTTTCCGCCTCCAGCTTTCCTCGAAACCGCTTCAGATGTTCTCGACGGATCTGATTTAGGCCTGACTTGTCGCCCGCCATCCATCAAGGCATAAGCTGCTCATCCGTCCACATGCGAAGCCCTATGGGACCATTCACCAGCTGATCCAAGCTCTCAGATTTTGCCGCGTGAACTCAGCGTCTGTTTGGTTTGAAGGAGCTTTTAGGCGGTAAACTGGTAAAATCCTGCAAGGAGCAATCATTAGGGATGGCCCCACCCGCGTGTGGTCCTTCCCAACCACAAGGCTGTTATCTCTTTCCCTCACAGCAAGCTGCCACGCCAGTGTTACGGAAGCCGCGAAGGACTTGCTACCTGCAGCAGGGATGAGTGTTCTTATCGATCCAAGAACTCCCCCATTTCAAGCAGAATTACCACCGCATTTTCGGCACGTTAACAAGCTAGACGCCAGCCGAAGCAGCCTTTCCACCGCATTTCCCTTCGATGGATCAGGGGCTCTTACTAAGGGCAAAAACCACTGCTCGTGAAGCGCTGGAGCGGTATGGTCTATATGACAGGAGGTACCGTGCACTTGAGAGGTATGGCCGACAAGGTGAACCCCGCTTGAACGCGCCCGTCCTATCGGCGCGAAGAAGTACTACCGCAAGCAACGTTTCGACTCATCAAGATTCCGCATGGCGGATTCCTCGTCAAGAATTACCCGCTATTGCAGAGGGACATAGTCACGCCTTCCCTCCCGTGCCGGAGCTCGGAGCGTTGAGGCTGCGGAAGCCTTTCGAAGGCCAGCGGAAGCCGTCCAGCGGGAGCGGGAACCGGAAGCGGAAGAGGTCGCGCGGAGATCCACTGCTGAGCGAGGGGGAGATTAAGGAGGCCGCTGCTAGCGATCGAGGCTCTTGCTGCTCGCCTGATCGCCTCGAGGCTTCTTCCTGCCCCATCCGCCGCTTTCACAGGTGACTGCTCCTTCACGTTTTGTTCTACTCCTCTTGTTAATGAGGTGACATGGGGATAAAGTGGCGGCAAAGGTTGTAAACATTCCTGTATATCTGCGGATTTCCTTGGAAGGATTTGCCTATTGCCTGTCTGCCAGTGGCGCATAAACTGCTGCTTGTGCCTTCCTATCTCTAACGCATCTCTGTGTGTCTCTCTCTTCATGCCGTCACAACTATTTGCCACTGCAGAAGCGCTACAAGCCATCATTCATCGAGCACGCCTTCTTGCAGCCTTACGGCCTCCCTTAACCCCTCTTGGCCCCCCGTTATCCTCAAATCCCACAGTATCTGCTGCTCCCTCCTCTTCATCCCAGCTGCCTTTGCCTGACATGACTTCTTTTAGTTCCTTCCCCTTTCCTGCGCTAGGCAGCAGCCAAGAGGACCTTTTTACCCAGGGTCTTCAAGTGCAATCATCCAGCCATACGGACCTCTTTACCAGGAATATTCCTGTGCAACTGTCTGGTCATCTGGACCTTCTGACTAGGGAACTTCCTTCACAATCTTCCAGCCACGTGGACCCCTTTACCAGGAATCTTCCTGTCCTATCCAGCCATGTGGACCTTTTTACCAGGAATCGTCCTTTGCAATCATCTAGCGAAACCAACACTCTTCTCAGAAATTCTCCTGCACGATCCGGCCACAGGGACCTGTTTCTGGGGAACATTCAGTCTTTCAGCCATTCCGGCCTCCCCACTGGGAGTCTCCTTGAGCAATCATCCAGCGGCATGCAGCCATCGAGCGACATGGTATCATCGGGCCTCTCAGGCTTCACCCAACCCATCCATGTGACGCCATCCAATTGTGTGGGTTCTGCTCATACCTTTTTTCTTCCTAAGGATGAACTTCAAAAGCTACTATCAGCAGGAGCCAGATTGCCATCCACGTATGAGGGCAAGGGGTGCAGCAGGACGTTCACCCTGCCTCAGTCTCTGGGAGAACACATGTCCAGACATAAGAGAGGTATGTTGGCCGCTGCTTCAGCTTGAACCTGCTTGAGAGTTGTGCATAGTTATGTAAGCCTTTGTTGTGTATTTTTCTGACTTACCATCTTGGCTTTGATTGCAGAGGAGAGGTTAAAGGAAATGCACAAAAGGAAGGCGGGGGCGGCTGTCCGAGAGGCCGCAGAAAGCTTATGTGATCTGCAGAAGAAATCATCGTTTTCATCAGAAAGTTCCGGCGTTGCTGGAAGTGCTGCGGAGGTGCTCTGCCTGCAAGCGACAACAACAGTAAAGCCTACTGAAATTCCTGTGAAGAATATTCAGATCCAGCAGCCTTCTCGTGAAGCAGGAACTCAATCTCAGCAAGAGCCATTCGTTGATCAGCAGCCACTCCACCATCGATTCACCATGCTACCTGACTGTGTCCTGGTGCCTCCTGCATCATCCCTGGCGGACCCTCTCCTGCACCAGCAGCATGGAAATCGGAATTGTTCTGGACCGACCTTGGCATTGGTGCCTCCAGGATCGCCCCACTGCATCCTTGAGGGGGTTTCGATGCCGACAATGCAGCATCAGGATGAGTGCGGCAGCCATGGGAATACCACCTTGAATGGCTCGCGAGTGTGTGACATCGACTTGAATTCTGATCCTGTGGATGATGAGGGGCCTTTGCTAGGAGCTTCATGTCTGGATTTGTCATTGTAATTTGCCTGTAAATATTTGTTCAAAATTGTAAATTGATTCTGTCACATTTGAGCTTGTGGTGCTCCTCGGTGAAGGATCGAGCGATTTGCTGTACTGGTTTGTGCGAATCGCACTGTTTCTCGGAACCTCATCTGAAGTCGCACGTGGCATTTGTTACACTTTTCTTTCGACAGCTTGAATTGGGGGGAATGTATCATATCATTGGCCAATTTCATGAAATCTCCGCCACAACCTGGTTCCCATTCATGGCCACAGCTTGCCATGTCGGCTTTCCATGTCTACGAGGTAGCATTCTGCGTGGTGAAGGCTTCTCGAGTACCGCCAGCAAGGCGAGGCGCAGCGATGATTCACCATCCTTGGAAATTGAGCCACCCCCTCCTTCCCTTCCACCATCGCTTGCGTCCCTTGTCTTTTAAAGGTTTGAAGTGGCGGAGTACGGTACATTCTGGTTAATGTCAACCTTCTCGTTGTCACTAGAGCAATGAGGATCAATAGGCGCCTATTCACTGCTCTAGATACTCCTTCCAGACCTCGGTATTGCCGGTGGCCTGCTTCTTTCGACGTGCCTACTGTTATAATTTGGTTTGTTCCCTTCCCGTAGCGCGACAACGCTTCGCCAGGTCGCATATCCAGTTTGAATGGCGCTCATCCTTCACGCGACGTGCGGTGCCCACATCGTCGCAGGCCTTCCTCCCCTCCACAGACCGACGCGCACCTCGTCTCACCGCGCTTCACCCCGCTATTTCAATGTCTCGTCTGCTGGGCGCGTTCTTTCCCAGAGGAACCTGAGCGCTTATCAGTTAGCGTCGCTCGTTCCACTGCCGCTAATTGCCCACGCGGCAGCAGCGTCAGCGAAGCTTCAGCGAAATGCCGCGCTCAAGCCGCGCGCCATCGCTCGCCAATCAGAGTCGTCGCAGGATGATTTTTTAGAATCGTCGCAGCACAATGCATCGCAAAACAAGCCGGCCTCCTTCACCCTTAAGGCGGCTTCGGCAGCTGTAGCCGCAGCTATAGCCGCCGCTACGTCCGCAATCTCTGCATTCACTGCTCCTTCAGCGCTCGCCGTCGATTCCGACGCGCTTTCTCGCTACGAGCAAATCGCCGGCAAGGCCGTGCAGCGCTCCGTCGTTACAATCACTTCCGCTGCCGCCACTGGGCCCGTTAATGTCACATCGGCTGGGGAAGCCGCCGGAGCTGCCGCTGCCGGGGAGGCCGCTAGTGCCGCCGCAGGCGCCGTGACTGACGCCGCCTCCGCCGCCGCGTCTTCCGCTCCGGAAGCCGTGACCGCCGTTACTGCCGCTGTGTCCGACGCTGTCGCCGCCGCCGCATCTGCTGCCGCACCTGCCGCGGTGACTGAAGCCGCGTCAGCCGCCGCCTCTGCCGCCACTTCCGCCGCCACTTCTGCAGCGGCTGGAGTCGCCGACCTGTTCACCAGCGCAGTCCCCGCGGCCGCATCTGCTGCAGCGTTTGACGCCGAAGTGGCCCTCACTTTCGCGGCCGTAGCGGGAGCGACGGCGCTGCTCGCGGGGGCGTTCTCGTTTCTCACGCGGAAGCAGTACGCGGGGGATTTGACCCCAGAAACCGCCTTAGAAAAAGCCCTGGAAGAGGTTGGGGAGGAGTGGGAGGAAGAAGGCGAGGCAGTCGTTCTTCTAGACATTCGCGACGGCAAGGAGAAAAGCCGATCGGGTAACCCGACGCTGAAAAGCTCGCCGAAGCGGCTGGTAGCGGAGGCGTATCGCGAAGACTCGGTGAAGCGGAAAGCGGAGGAGAGTGAGGGGGACGGGGAGGACGACGTAGTGATTGAATTGGGTGATCTTAAAGAGGGGTTCCTCGACGCGGTTAAGGAGGCTAAAGCCGTGTCGGAAGGATCTACTATCATCGTTATCGATAAGTATGTGATGTCACGTTCGCGTTGTTCTTACCAGACTTGGGAACGTCGCTTCACACCAATCGAGATTGGAATTTAATCTCCACCATAAATTAGTCTTCCGCTTGCTGAACTCTCGCGCTTCCCTTTGTTATCCCAACCAGGGCTGGGGAAGACGCTGTGGATGTCGCCAAGCAGCTGACGTCAGCGGGCTTCAAGAATGTCTTCGTCGTAGCTGGAGGAGCTGACGCGTGGCAGGCAAGTACTGGCTGGCGTGTCCTTGCTACAGTTGAATTATTAGCTCGGAAAGTTTTAGTGGCTCCATGCATCAGTTTGCTTTGAACAAAATCGCCATCCACCTCACCCCCCCAGCTAGTTTCCCCTTACAGCACTTTTCCTCTTTCCCCTCTCCCCCAACCAGCCCCAGTGCCTCGGTCCATATTTAGCATAGCAGTGCCGAGAACAAAAGCGCCCTGCGCCTCATCCGCTCAACTAGTTACCCCTTCTACCCTCCCCCTCTTCCCCTCTTTCCAACTTTCCCCTATCTCCCCGTTGTCTCTTCCCCATTTTCACCCTTCTTCCCCCTTTCCCTCTTCCCCCTTTCCCGATGCTCGTGCAGGAAGGGGGGCTGCCGTGGAAGAAGCCGTTCCTCCGCCTGCCCACGCCTGCGCTACCCTCACTCCCCTCGCTCCCCTCGTTCAACCTCGGAATCAACCTCGAAGAGTCCGTTTCTACAGTGAAAGAAGTCTTCACCACCGTAGAGGTGAGCTAATAATAATCACTCGTATGAGTTGACACAATGATTTCCACCTGTTCAAACAAGGAATCAACCTGTTTCTACAGCTGGAAAATAAAATATTCTTCACCGTAGGGGTGACAAGGTTTTTCCATCAAGCCTCCCCGATTAAGTATACTCAAACAAAGAACGTTCCTCCTTGAACCTTGAAGAGTCCGACTCTACAGCACAAGTGGTTAGCAGCACGACAGAGTTTCCTCTGGCTTGATTGAAGAATAAACAAACTAAAGCATGAAACATAGGCTCCTTCTCACAAGAACTCATTTAACCACCTCATTTACATCTTTTAACTACACCTCTTCACAGCTCCTTTTTCCACTTTCCCCATGGCTCTTCCCTTTACCTTCATGCAGAGTGGTGCAGCAAAAACAGCGTCAGCAGCGGCATCAGCAGCTCCTGCAGCTCTCGGCATCCTCGCTGCTGCTGGGCTGTCCGTGGCCGTGCTGGCAGAGGTGCGCGTAAACTCGTGGTGGGCATGGTTTGGTTTGGTCTATTGGGAGGCAGGTGGTGGGGTCCGGGGGGGATGGTAGTGCAGTGCAGCATTGGGCATCCTCTCTGCTGCGGGTCTCTCTGTGGCCGTGCTGGTAGAGGTGCGCATTCACTCGTACTTGCCATGTCATGGCCTAGTTTCGGAAGAGGGGAGGGTCAAAAGGGTGGGGAAGGGGGAAAGTGGGGAGAGGAGATGGCAGTGTGGTATTGTCATCTTTGCTGCTGGGCTATCCGTGGCAGTGCCGGCAGAGTTTGCATTCACCGCATTGTCGGCTTTTGAGACGGCTTTTGAGACGTCTCAAAAGTGCTGCTGAGCTATCCGTGGCAGCGCTGGCAGAGTTCGCATTCACCGCCTTGTCGGCTCGGCACCACCACAACAATGTTGCTTCATGGTTGTGCTGTCATAGCAGTGTTTCATCAAAGCAGGCAATGTTTCGCTGCAGTGCACTAATGCAGACCAGAATCTCTTTTGCCCCCATCCCCCCCTGTTCCCTGTTCCCTGTTCCCTGTTCCCTGTTCCCTGGCCCCTTCTCCCCGTTTCCCTCTCACCCGTCAACCCGTCAACCCCTCACCCCTTCAGGCCGAGGCACTACTAACGCTCGTGGCGTCAGTGGCGCTCGTGCAGTTCATTGCCACGAAGCTGCTCTTCGCTAAGGTAGGTGGGGGGATGCGTGCATGCACCATGGTGGGGGGATGCGTGCATGCACCATGGTGGGGGGATGCGTGCATGCACCATGGTGGGGGGATGCGTGCATGCACCATGGTGGGGGGATGCGTGCATGCACCATGGTGGGGGGATGCGTGCATGCACCATGGTGGGGGGATGCGTGCATGCACCACGGTGGGGGGATGCGTGCATGCACCATGGTGGGGGGATGCGTGCATGCACCATGGTGGGGGGATGCGTGCATGCACAATGGTGGGGGGATGCGTGCATGCACCATGGTGGGGTGGGGGGGTATTTACTACTGAGAGTGAATGGGTCCTCGTAGGGGGCCCATGCAGCGAGTGGCGCTCGTGGCGCTCGTGCAATTCATTGCCACCAAGGTGCCCACATGGGGGGGAGTGAATCACACCTGCTCGCCCCTGTGGCGCTCGTGCAGATCACCAAGCTGCTCTTTGCTAAGGTGGGGGGATGTGCTAGGGGCGATGGACAAAGTTGGGGGGATGTGCTAGGGGCGATGGTCAAAGGTGGGGGGATGTGCTAGGGGCGATGGACTAAGGTGGGGGGATGTGCTAGGGGCGATGGACTAAGGTGGGGGGATGTGCTAGGGGCGATGGGCTAAGGTGGGGGGATGTGCTAGGGGCGATGGACAAAGGTGGGGGGATGTGCTAGGGGCGATGGGCTAAGGTGGGGGGATGTGCTAGGGGCGATGGACTAAGGTGGGGGGATGTGCTAGGGGCGATGGACTAAGGTGGGGGGATGTGCTAGGGGCGATGGGCTAAGGTGGGGGGATGTGCTAGGGGCGATGGGCTAAGGTGGGGGGATGTGCTAGGGGCGATGGACTAAGGTGGGGGGATGTGCTAGGGGCGATGGGCTAAGGTGGGGGGATGTGCTAGGGGCGATGGACTAAGGTGGGGGGATGTGCTAGGGGCGATGGACTAAGGTGGGGGGATGTGCTAGGGGCGATGGGCTAAGGTGGGGGGATGTGCTAGGGGCGATGGGCTAAGGTGGGGGGATGTGCTAGGGGCGATGGACTAAGGTGGGGGGATGTGCTAGGGGCGATGGGCTAAGGTGGGGGGATGTGCTAGGGGCGATGGACTAAGGTGGGGGAATGTGCTAGGGGCGATGGACTAAGGTGGGGGGATGTGCTAGGGGCGATGGACTAAGGTGGGGGGATGTGCTAGGGGCGATGGGCTAAGGTGGGGGGATGTGCTAGGGGCGATGGACTAAGGTGGGGGAATGTGCTAGGGGCGATGGGCTAAGGTGGGGGGATGTGCTAGGGGCGATGGACTAAGGTGGGGGGATGTGCTAGGGGCGATGGGCTAAGGTGGGGGGATGTGCTAGGGGCGATGGACTAAGGTGGGGGGATGTGCTAGGGGCGATGGACTAAGGTGGGGGGATGTGCTAGGGGCGATGGGCTAAGGTGGGGGGATGTGCTAGGGGCGATGGACTAAGGTGGGGGGATGTGCTAGGGGCGATGGACTAAGGTGGGGGGATGTGCTAGGGGCGATGGGCTAAGGTGGGGGAATGTGCTAGGGGCGATGGACTAAGGTGGGGGGAGGGGCGATGGACTAAGGTGGGGGGATGGATGCTATGCTATCAGTTGCATATCACCCGCCAATGTACTAAGGTGGGGGGGTGGGTGAGCCAATGCTACCTGCACAGTGCACTGCACACAAAAGTAGATGTTCACACACTCGTCGTAGGGGTAATTCACCTGGTGGCTTTAGTGGCTCTGGTACAGCTCATTTCCACTGCAGTGCTCTTTCCCAAGGTAGGTGGGTTGGGGGGTGATGCGAAAAGCCCACTCCCACTCCCACTAACTCTCTCACCCCTCCTCCTCGTGCAAGTACCTGTCAGCAGGCTCCGCTTTTACCAACTCTGCTCTTCCCACCGCTCCCCATACCTCCCAACCTCTCTACAACCCACAGGACAGGGAGCAGACATTGGCACAGCTGCGCAAGTACCTTCCTACTGGTGCCGACCTGCCTGCCCTTGCCCCTCCCGACGAAGCCACTGCAGCAACGAGTAGCAGCGCTGTGCTGAGCCCGCCTAAGGAAACGAGTCCTGCAGCCACCACTGCCCCTGCAGCCGCCACCACTGCCCCTGCAGCCGCCACCACTGCCCCTGCAGCCGCCACCACTGCCCCTGCAGCCGCCACCACTGCCCCTGCAGCCGCCACCACTGCCCCTGCAGCCGCCACCACTGCCCCTGCAGCCGCCACCACTGCCCCTGCAGCCGCCACCACTGCCCCTGCAGCCGCCACCACTGCCCCTGCAGCCGCCACCACTGCCCCTGCAGCCGCCACCACTGCCCCTGCAGCCGCCACCACTGCCCCTGCAGCCGCCACCACTGCCCCTGCAGCCGCCACCACTGCCCCTGCAGCCGCCACCACTGCCCCTGCAGCCGCCACCACTGCCCCTGCAGCCGCCACCACTGCCCCTGCAGCCGCCACCACTGCCCCTGCAGCCGCCACCACTGCCCCTGCAGCCGCCACCACTGCCCCTGCAGCCGCCACCACTGCCCCTGCAGCCGCCACCACTGCCCCTGCAGCCGCCACCACTGCCCCTGCAGCCGCCACCACTGCCCCTGCAGCCGCCACCACTGCCCCTGCAGCCGCCACCACTGCCCCTGCAGCCGCCACCACTGCCCCTGCAGCCGCCACCACTGCCCCTGCAGCCGCCACCACTGCCCCTGCAGCCGCCACCACTGCCCCTGCAGCCGCCACCACTGCCCCTGCAGCCGCCACCACTGCCCCTGCAGCCGCCACCACTGCCCCTGCAGCCGCCACCACTGCCCCTGCAGCCGCCACCACTGCCCCTGCAGCCGCCACCACTGCCCCTGCAGCCGCCACCACTGCCCCTGCAGCCGCCACCACTGCCCCTGCAGCCGCCACCACTGCCCCTGCAGCCGCCACCACTGCCCCTGCAGCCGCCACCACTGCCCCTGCAGCCGCCACCACTGCCCCTGCAGCCGCCACCACTGCCCCTGCAGCCGCCACCACTGCCCCTGCAGCCGCCACCACTGCCCCTGCAGCCGCCACCACTGCCCCTGCAGCCGCCACCACTGCCCCTGCAGCCGCCACCACTGCCCCTGCAGCCGCCACCACTGCCCCTGCAGCCGCCACCACTGCCCCTGCAGCCGCCACCACTGCCCCTGCAGCAGCCACCACTGCCCCTGCAGCCGCCACCACTGCCCCTGCAGCCGCCACCACTGCCCCTGCAGCCGCCACCACTGCCCCTGCAGCCGCCACCACTGCCCCTGCAGCCGCCACCACTGCCCCTGCAGCCGCCACCACTGCCCCTGCAGCCGCCACCACTGCCCCTGCAGCCGCCACCACTGCCCCTGCAGCCGCCACCACTGCCCCTGCAGCCGCCACCACTGCCCCTGCAGCCGCCACCACTGCCCCTGCAGCCGCCACCACTGCCCCTGCAGCCGCCACCACTGCCCCTGCAGCCGCCACCACTGCCCCTGCAGCCGCCACCACTGCCCCTGCAGCCGCCACCACTGCCCCTGCAGCCGCCACCACTGCCCCTGCAGCCGCCACCACTGCCCCTGCAGCCGCCACCACTGCCCCTGCAGCCGCCACCACTGCCCCTGCAGCCGCCACCACTGCCCCTGCAGCCGCCACCACTGCCCCTGCAGCCGCCACCACTGCCCCTGCAGCCGCCACCACTGCCCCTGCAGCCGCCACCACTGCCCCTGCAGCAGCCACCACTGCCCCTGCAGCCGCCACCACTGCCCCTGCAGCCGCCACCACTGCCCCTGCAGCCGCCACCACTGCCCCTGCAGCAGCCACCACTGCCCCTGCAGCAGCCACCACTGCCACCCCTGCTGCTGCCGCCCCTGCCCCTGCTGCTGCTGCTCCTGCTGCTGCTGCTCCTGCTGCTGCTGCAGCTGCCCCTGCTGCTTCTCCTGCTGCCCCTGCCAAGCCCGCACCAGCAGCACCAGTCCCTTCACCCATTCCCTCTCCCTCGCCCGCTGCTGCAGCTGCTGCTGCTACGGCTGCTGCCCCTTCCGCCCCTGCTGCTATCACTCCCCCTGCTGCCGCTGCTTCCCCTGCTGTTGCAGCTCCTGCTGCTCCCCCTGCCACTCCCCCTGCTGCCCCTGCTGCTGCCCCTGCTGCTGCCCCCCCTGCTGCTCCTGCTCCTCCTGCTGCTGCCGCACCTACTGCAACCAAGGCTGAGTCAGCAAAGGCGGAGGCTGAGTCAGCAGTATCCGACTTGCCATACACCAATCGTCCTCTCTCCCCTTACGCCTTGGTAAGGTTTTTTTAGGTAAGGTTATTTTATGTGTGTTTTTTTTTTAAGGCAAATACATAATCATCCTCTTTCCCATCCTTGCAGTATCTGAACCTTAAGCCCCCCACCCAACCTCAGGCCTCCTCCTTTCCCATTTCTCCCTGACTTTCTTAACCCAACTTCAAACTGCCTCCTCTTCCCCCTCCCTCCCCATCTGCCTCCTCTCCCCCCTCCTTCGCCCCCTGAATCTCCCCACCCTTGCAGTATCCGGACCTCAAGCCCCCCACCTCGCCATGCCCTTCCCCCCCCACCTCCAACGTTGCCACCGTTGCCGAACCTCTTACCAAGCCTGCTGCAGTACCGGCTGCTGAGCCACCTGCTGCTGCCGCATTAGCAGAAGCACCAGCACCAGCAGTGGCAGCACCAGCTGCACCTGCACCAGTTGCACCTGCACCAGCAACAGTTGCACCAGTTGCACCTGTCTCAGAATTGCCCTATGCCGACAGGCCCCTCTCGCCCTACAGCCAGGTGAGCTCACATCATCACACACACAGATAGAGACGTGGGGGCATTGACTGCTATCACTCACGCTAACCCTTCTCACTCCAACCTCCTCCTGCCTCTCCTCCCTAACCTCACTCCTACCTGACCTCACTCCACCCTCATCCACTTTCCTCTATCAACTTTTATTATCATCTTACTCACCTTCTGCTCTCCTCTACTCCTCACTCTCACTCAAGGACTTCCCTTCTTCCTATGTGCTGTGCTCCCCTCTTTCCAACAGTACCCGGACCTCAAGCCCCCAACCTCACCAACCCCCTCGCCTCCAGCTGCCATAGCAGCTGAAGATGCTACAATCTCTGTTGCTGAGCCTGCTGCCGAGCCTGTTGCCGAGGCTGCCAAGTCTGCTGCGGTGCCTGCTACCGAGCCTGCCGTCATGCCTTCACCTGTAGCTTCGGCGCCTGCTCTGGTTGTCGACCCGGCTGCAGCAGCAGCAGGGGCAGCAGCTACAGTTGTTGCAGCTGGTGCTACATCCGCTGCTGCTGCTGCCACTGCTGCGGTGGCCGCTGCTGTATCAGAATCAATGACTCTTCCCGTCCCCCAGTCACCTCTTTCGCCATACACCCAATATGCGGGTCTCAAGCCCCCATCCTCACCATCCCCAGCAGCACCAGTCTCTTCAGCTGCTGCTGCAGCAGCTGCTGCCGCCACAACTGCGGCTGCTGTCTCTGCCGCTGCTGCCCCTGCTGCTCCTGCTGCTCCCACTGCCTCCGCTGCTCCTGCTGCTGACCCTGCAGCCGATGCTGCAACTCTGGCTGCTGCTGCCGCCGCCACTGCCACCGCTGCTGCTGCCACTGCTGCTGCTGCAACAGCTGCCACTGCTGCTCCTGCTCCTTCGGTAACCCCTTCTGCTTCGGCCACTCAATCTGCTGCACCTGCTGCCGAGCCTGTCAGCCCTGAAGTGACATTGCCCAATGCTGCTGCTGTGGCTGCTGCTGCTGCTGCCGC